GAAGACCTAATGTCTACATTGATAATTAAAAATGTGTCTGCCAAACAGTCAGGAAACTATACTTACTTAGCAAGCAATGAAAAAGGCTTTGACAGGCAAAGCAGCTACTTAAATGTGCAAAGTGTGTCTAATAACTTTTTTAAGTTTGCATTTTTGTTGACATAAATTGAGCAAAACTAGCTGTATAAATTTTAATTCATTGTGCTCTCATTTTTCACAGTTCCACCAAGTTGGATTAAAGAGCCAAAGGATGTCAATTTGCGAATGGGCGAAGAGTACTCGGTAGAGTGCGTGGCTGATGGTTTGCCAAAACCCAACATCAAGTGGATCAGCTCCTCTGGCAAAGTCATTGAAGGAGAAGTTCTTGACTTAGGGAAAATAATTGGCAATGAAAAGCAAGCCAGTCAAACTCTGGCATTTGAATGTGTTGCCGATAACCAAGTAGGTGATGCACTGCGTAAGAGCATTACTATTTCCTACAATGGTGAGTAAAAGTTAGCAATTTTTAAAATGTTTTCAGTTTGAGAAATAATTGTTCATTTAGTCCCGGTTAAGTTTGAAGAAAAGTACACTTCGTTGCAAATGAAACGAGGCGAATTGCTCACTATTCGGTGCAACGCCACCGGCGATACACCCATCTCAATCAAGTGGAGTACCAAAGATGGCGCAAAAATTGATAACCTAAACGATCATCGAGTTGAGATCTCAGAAATTCCTACCAGCAACGGTTTACTTTCTGAACTGTCTATACGATCAGTTTCCAAAACTGATGGAATCATCTACAAGTGTGACGCAGAGAATCTGCACGGTCGGGATGAGCGTACAATCAAAGTTTCGGTGGTGGAAGAGCCGGGAGCTCCACAGGGGCTGAAAATTAACGAAGTGTGGTCACGATCAGCAAGTATCAGTTGGCGTCCACCTTACAATGGAAATTCACCGATGTTACGATATGTGGTGCAATTCTGGCGTAAAACTGGTGCCGCCCACAGATTGCAAGAGTTCAACGTCAGCAGCTCGCAAACGTCAACACTTATAAAGAACCTCAGTCCAGGACTGTCTTACGAAGTGTGTTTAGTTGCAGAAAATAAAGTTGGCCGAAGCGAACCATCAGACACTGTTCAGCTGTACACTGGCGAAGAAGAGCCTACTGGATTTCCACTAGACTTGGCTGTAGAACCTTTGGGCCCGACCACTGTGCGCATCACTTGGCGGGCCCCACCGCGAGAAACATGGAATGGAATTTTAAAAGGGTATTACATCGGTTACCGAAAAGCAAAAAACTCTGACAGTACTGCGTACACCCTGAAATCAGTGGAAACCAAACAATCTGACCCTGCTCAAATAGAAGCTGAACAGTACGAGTACTTTTTGCGAGATCTCCTCAAAGGAACTGAATACGAGTTGGTCATTAAAGCGTACAATCTCGCAGGAAGTGGCCCACAATCAAACGCTCTTTTAGTTCGTACACGAGAGGGTGATGTCCCGCCTCCAATGTACCTAACCTACTATGACCCCACTGCCAACAGCGTTTCCCTTCGATGGACGCAAAAGGACGCCCGAGAGCTCTCGTCCCCAATCACCAGCTACACGGTCCATTTTCAAAGGGAAGATGAACCCAAGTGGCGCGAAATTCCGTTAAGCACATTGACAACAGCATCTCCACCAGTTGATGGTGCTTTCCCAGTTTTTACCTATGTGCTGCAAAATCTTGAACGCGGAGTTCAGTACCGCATTTTTGTGACGGCAATTAATTTGTTTGGATTCAGTGATCCAAGTAATATTGTTTCTGTCCAAACTGTTGGAGGTAAGTTTGCAAAAACGTCTGTTAGATTTATTTTTAATTCATTAACTTAAACAACAGAAAGGATCAAAAGTTCTGGCGGTTTTGTTGGTTTGAACGACAAAATGTACAATGAATACGATGCCCCTTACTACATGCAGCCTGCTTTTACCATTCCGATTCTGGTAGCAATTGTCGTCATTTTTGTCATTATCATTGCTGCATATGTGTGCATTAGACAAATCAAAGCTCGTGCTGCAGCTGCAGCAGCCACTAGCCGTAAGTT